GTATATACGCATGTGCTTGCAAGTGTGGACACGTGTGTGCATGTATGTGTGTATATATGCATGTGCTTACAGGTGTGGACACGTGTGTGCATTTACGTGTGTATATACGCATGTGCTTACATGTGTGAACACGTGTGTGCATTTATGTGTGTATATACGCATGTGCTTACAGGTGTGGACACGTGTGCATGTATGTGTGTATATATGCATGCGCTTACAGGTGTGGACACACGTGTGCATGCATGTACATCTGTATATATGCATGCACTTACAGGTGTGGACACGTGTATGCATGTACGTGTGTATACATGCATGTACTTACAAATGTCCACATGCATGTGTGTATGCACTGACGTGTGTATACATGCAAGTACTTACAGATATGTGCACACGGGCATGTATATCCACGGTGACGCTCTGATATCAGATTTGTCACACCACAAGCTGAATGAAGGTGGAATGTGAACTGTTACATGTCCTGCTGCCTAAGGTAACTTGGTATCTGCTTTTTAGAATAATCCTTCAAATTCTCAGAGTCACTGAGCAAATTCAAATTCCTTTCGTGGTCCCACCAAGGACCATTCTCCTAACTGCCAGCTTCTGTCCTGGCTGAGCTGCCGTAAGTAGACTCCTCCCCTGCGTGCCCCAGCCACATAGGTGCCTCATGTTCCAGACAGGACGACCTCCATGTAGGGCCTGCCCACCGACCTCTGCCTGCTGGGGCTCCCCCAGCAGAGATCCCTCCTTGTTCTCCACAAGGACACCCCCTCCTCAGACAGATGCCTAGCAAGGCGGGGGCAGAGGGAGGCATTTGTCCCCCGGATACAAGTTCAAGGGGCGAAAGAGGAGGCCAGCGAGTGGGGGGAGGCAAACTTAGAGACTGTCCCTGGGTGTTCTTAACCTCACTACGCCTCCGTCCTCAGAGCGTGGGGCCAAACATGCTACCCCCACTCTCCCCTCCTGGACCTCCTTCCCCGCGCTTCCTTCAGGCTCATCACTTACCGCCTCGTCAGCTACATACTGTCTGTCCCTGTCTGTCTGCCCCTGTGCTACATGTGGTTCTGCAGGGCCGGGACCAAGTCCTTGCTCACCTCTGAGTTTGAGCCTGGAAAACCACGGTCCTGGAGGAACACCTGCTGCACAGGGACAGAACAGGGCAGCCCACCCACACTGTCCTG